ATATATATATATATAATATATATTATAGAGCGAACTTTAATTCATTCAACAGTGTTAAATTTATAATGTCAAATTATGCCCAATTTGAGTCATTTTTTATTACTTTTATAGGTCGTCACTATTCTTACACTGTTAAATATCATAGGAATAAGTAATCCAAATTCTTAAATTAAATGACATTTTGTTGTTTTTAACTTCATGTGAATCAAAATGTACATTAATCCATTTCTATCATCCAGTAGTTAGTTTTAAAGTAAGCAATATTAACATACGCACTTAATAAATAAAATAAATTCAATTCAAATTTAATATATTTTTTCAAGGTAAGTTGTTTACCTCCATTGTTTTAAAGTTAAGCTAATGATATACTGAGTAGGAGCAGAGGTGACCCAACGTGTATATGTAAGGAATGATTAAAAATAACTCAAATTAAGTATAATTTGATATTATGAATTTAACAGAGTATTCAATATATCGTTATTTTAACTAAAACAACAGAATTAAACAATTTAATCTAAAAAAATGTATTAAAAATTTGATTCAATTTCAGTTTCTTATTACTTGCTAAGAGTTGTTTACTTTGAAAGTAATTACAGAAATGGGTTAATTAACATTTTAATATATACTCTCTAAATCTAGTAACTGGATAATCAGCAAAATTCAACTAAAAAAGAAAATTTGAACATTATACATTTAAAATACTGATATCTGCATGTTCATTCATTGAATTTATTCACTAAAATAAAGTTAAATTATATAACACAGGTTAGCTAGATTAGATCTCATATTTCATTCACTGATTATCAGTGGCATATTTAACACCGATATCAGTGATTATCTACTGATTCAGATTTAGAGAGTAGAAGTTAAAAATGACAAAATGTTATTTAACACAAGGGATTGGGTTACCATTGCGTCTTTGATATCTAACAGTGAAGAAAGAAACTATTGATGTATACTTCTACAAAAACTGTAATATTCAAACAATATTCGAATGATATAAGAAACAAATGTCTTTTTCGTGTTCAACAAAAAGAATCGACATTTGTGCGAGATGCAACGGCTATTGAAAATTTATTTAAAAAGTCATGATCTCATAGTATACTCACAGTCTTAATGGTGGCGATCAATTCACGTATACATTCGATGCACGTCGTGGGTTTCCCGCAGATGCTGATGAGACGATCCGTGCTGCGGGGGCAGGTGTTCGAATAGATCTTGATCCTGGCTCCGGTTTTCTGAAACACAAAAGTATTCGGGTACATTAGACAAAATTTACAACTCAGAATCCAGGAAATTTTTCGCGTACGGATTTACATTGAAAAGAAGACTGACGCAACTACATTTGTTATAGTTGACAAGTTAGAGGTATGAATGACGATTCTCTCATTTTTCAAGTCGGAATATGTGACTCCGCAAATAAAAATATATCACGTCCCCAAAAATGTCGAGATTGCAATCTCACATTTCTGTCTTCTACATTCGACTAATAATCGCTGACGTAACGAAGTAAGTAACTCGGACTCTCCTGTGTGTGCGTGTTCAACAGCTCTTTTTAATTACTCTGACAATCGGACATGAGTCACGATCAGGGTGTGATACTCCGTCTGCTTCCTCGACAGCTCTCACCCACCCCTGATTAACGACTTAACGATGCTCAAATGCTTTCGTACCTGCTCCACTAATCTGCGCCCCGCTCTTTGCCGCGAGGTTTCTAAGTAATACCTCGAGACGACAATGTTCAGATCGCGTGCTGATAGTCGTTTAACAGTCTACCTGTACTTTCCGAGATCTCGATCACGCCACATCGAGACGGCTGAGCGCAAACGTGCAACCATTTGGTGGCACTTAAATTTTTCTTGAGCTAATTTGACCTGTCGTTTGCGTCGTAAAGTAACTCGTAAGCTTTCAATGATAACAGACGAGATTTACAGTTGCAGGTAAAACGAAATAATATAATTCTGCGCATTGGACTGAGGGAGGAGGGATGATGAACTGACAGACAGTGATGCATATAGGGTGGATATACGCGCGGAGATAGCTTTGATGCGAGTGATGCAAAAACGAAAAATTGCCGATAACATCGACAGCCGTGTGCTCAAACGCGAAATATCCAAACCAGATAACAATCTAGTACGCTCACGTATACTACATATACACGCGTGCCTGCATCCGGTGGTATTGTGCGGAGAAATCGCGCCGTTTAATTACGTAGATCAAAGCAACCCACTCCCTGAAATCCCGCTAGCCCCGTGCAGATCCATTCAAACGTTTCTGATGCAGACAGTCCAGCGATATTGAGGCTCACGTGTGTCTGGTACCTGGATACAGCGTTAATCCCAAAGTGATAGAATCGAGAAAAGTACACGAAGACAGACGAAGAAAGGGACAACGCAAACGTGTAATTCATATTATACTCGGAATGTTTAATCGACTCAGTTTCACGACGCAAGAAACAGCACTATTTTTTTTAGAGAGAATAAAAAAAAATAGCGCGCGTACATTGCATTCTGCTCTAGTATAACAAAAAAAAACCAGCCAATGCTGTTCGATCACCAACGAATAAATAGCGAACGGCTATATTGTTCGCGTAGATATCTATATAATTAGTCAATGGAATTCATAAGCGGAGAACGAGCCGAGAAATAAAAGCTCGGTGTCGCGTTATATAACCAGCCATCCGAGCGATTTGAATACCACGATTTGAAAGAAAAATCGATGAGAATTGCCATCGCAGATCGGTATTTACACGACATGCGCCGGGGGCGGAAAAAGCCAAATGTGATTTTAATCAAATTAATTAATTCTGCTGAACACGTCCACGAATCAGCAGGATTAATCTCGACGCGACAGAAGCGAGAATGGACGCGAATTCTTGTATGCAACAACGGTTTTGGATTGACAAGGATTGTTCTTACAGTCCAGCATTATTTCTGATATTTGAATCATTTTTACCGGAAGTTGGCGAGTGTGGGGGGGTATCGTTGACATATCAAACTTTCATTCGCATTAATATTCAAAATCAATTTTCTAAAAAAGAAACAAGTGTGTTAGTTATATGTATATTCTGCAGCGTGAAAGTAAAAGCAATTACTGTGAGAAATGGGCTCTTGATAATTAATCGAAGAGATGAAATAAAAGACAAAGATGAAAGCCACTCGTTGAAGCGCTTTTTGACTCGCGTTTCTTGCGGAGGACAAGTTGCCTCGAGAGAGGCAGATTCTCGAAAGAAATTTCCGCTTGTCCGCCTGAACTTACCTCTGACATTCGATATCGGTAAACTTGAAAAGAACAATGTGAATCGATCGTTCTTTGAAGGAACCAATGTGCCATAAATAGCACAGTATAAAATAGTAGAAGTAGTAGGAGTATGCGCTGTGAAATTTCGCGAGGAAGTGAGATTATTTCAGTCGAAACATCGAGCGATATTACAATGCATTATGTACACCGTATGAAGCTGCCTCCCACGCACCCTTGATCGTTCTACCGACACACAGCTATATGGATTTTCAATTTTCCAGAAAGTTTCCGAACTTCCGAAACTTGTCGCGATCGCGGAGATTTCTGTCCTCCCCCTTCGAGTGAACATTTTCTTGAATATTCAAGAGTCGAGGAAGATAATTAATTGTCCCAAGTTTCAAGGTCGTAACTTGACATAATTATGCCAACTTGTGTACGCGCAGCGTAAGAAATTCTTCTCGAAAGAATATTATACCTACATGCTGATAACTCTCTCTCTCTCGCTCTGAAACTAACAAGTTTTATATTTATATATCATTCGCGTTATTTCCGAGAGAGGCGTTATTAAACGTAAAGACATTGGTATTAGAAGATTAAAGTGGCTGTAACATGCTTATGGTAATTCGGAGCAAACATCCGGAGGACTTCAAAGTCCTTGCACTGGGAGGATAACCATACGAGAGCGATTTCGTGAGAATGAACCGCACTGCGCCACCAAATTCGTGTTTGCTTAACAGTTCTCCGTTGCAACGGCATCCGTAGCACAAGTTTACAAACTTCAACGGTATTACTGGCGGCGTCATGCACTAATCTAAACGTAAATCGTACTATTCAATTCGACGCGACGAAGAAGTTCCACCCCACAGCTAGTTCCGAATGATTTTACGTAAAGGCCAAAGAATATGGATAACGATTGGATTGTATAAATGTTGAATAAGTCGAAGACATTATCGCATGACGATATTTGCCTTTTAATAAAACATTTTTAATAACAAAAGAGTTTCAAACAGCGTACTTCATTCCAGTTACGCTGATGGTGTTAGTCGGACACGGAAAGACGTTCTGTGTTTCTTAAAACTTTGACTTTTATTTCGTTTCTCGAACAATTTTCATCAGTTGTCAATCGATTATCTTAGTGAAGTGCCTGTGTGTCCAAAGGTGAGTTAAAAATAACACATTACAATAAAATAATTCAATTTCTAAAACAGCGAGAAAGACGATCGCGGACGGTGAAGGTTTTCTACTTTGCTGTTGTGTAATTTTTAGGAATTTTTTTTTTTTAAAGTGAGTAAATATTTTTTTAAATTATTTTTATTCTTTATTTATTATCGTTTTAAGAGATAGATTTGTTATTTTTTTTATATAAAAAGTATGAATAATTAACAAATCCGATTTCTACGCATCGTGTGGACGATTCATCTATGCGATCATGATTCCGGATCTTTCAATTAAAATTAAAAAACAAAACATTATTTTAATTAGAACACTTGCGGCTGTTATCGGAACTAGAATTATCGTAATAACTTAATTTTTTCTATTTTTTTCAGAGCTCAAGAAAATAAAAAATGAAAATCAAACTTTTTTTATAAATAACTGCTATTTATTTATTTAATGAGCAAAATGAATAATTCTAGTTCCGACATTTTTTAATTTCAACTCACTGAAAGATCAGCTCGGAGATCCGGAATCGTCGCAGATGTGTATGATGTAGAAGTCAAATAGATTTATTATTCATATCTTTTATTAAAAAAATAGAAAATTTTTCCAACTTGAAAAAATATCAAATAAAAAAAAGGACAAAAGTAATTAAACAAAAATATTAATCCACTTTTCCAAAAAATATTCTTAAAAACTTGCTGAAAAAACGCAACAAAGTATTGTAAAAAATTCTCTTAATATCTCAAAAGAATTACATTTTCATAAATAAATAATAAAATTTTATAAACATAAATTTAATAGACAATGTTTTCAGATTATTTCCGTCTACACTGCGTAACTCTTTCTGCAAATCATCGCTAGGTGAGCACCTACAGCACTTAATGCATTTTCATGAGTTCGTATAGTTCATGGAGACACGAAATTCATACGCATTCATGACACACTGTTCGTGAAGAAAGACAGCTATCTACTTTGCGACTTCAATTCATCACTGATTTAGCAGCAATTGTGCAGTGACTTCCTAGTGACACTACGGAAAGAAACGCGTATTCCTCGTTGAAACATATAGTCGCAAATTGCCTCTCAACATATCTACTACTTTCGAATCAGGTGAGAAGCTACGACATAAACTGCCACATAAATCCCATGACATGTAAATGTCACAAACTCGTCGGGATAAACGAAACAATGTTCGCATTTTACAAAACGTTAAAGTACAATAGACCTCCGGATTACTACGTCAAAAATTCCTTCTATATGCCGACACACATTTCGATCAATAAATTAAAATTTATATTCTACATACCGGACTGACTGATGAATGTAGCGCCAATCGATAATAATTGAAAATTTCATATCGCGTGCGGAAATTTCTCGACGCTACATTCACATACGCGAATTTAAGGGAGGGGTATAGTTAATTCGGTCAAAAGAAGGCATGTTTTTATGAATTTTTTTAGGCGCTCTGGTTAGTGCCAGTGTATTGAAATAAAATTATAATAATAAAACTACATCTCAAGAATATTCAGTAAAAATTTGGACGCAAAAAATTAAAAACTGTGCAAATGGCACGCGATCGACGGAGGCGCCTCGAAAAAAAGACGTCCTGCGGTGCGCAACATTTCTCGGCACTGAATCATCTGAAATCAAAAAACCAAAACTTTTTAGTTAGTTTATGAGTTTCT